TCTGGAGAGTGTAGTCACTGTCTCAGCCTGCTGCAGGTCAAGAGGTTTTTTTCCTTTCTTTACTCGGCAGTCTCTGGTGAATTCAGTCACAGCAAAAAAACTGCAGCCGAGCCAGGGACTGGCCTGGCCTGGCCAGAGCCCGGGGCAAGCCCCACAGGCCCCATCTCCCGGCCAGGAGCCGCTGGGCCCAGCCCAGCCCCTGCCCGGGCTGCATGGCCTGGGCAGGGAACGAGAGGCCTGGAGCTCTGTTACCTTTCACAGCCAGGAAACAAAGAGAACAAGAGTGCTCTGACTTTACATCTTAAGGAGGTGTTCACAGGTTAACTTAATTTTTTTTAATGGTCAAAACTGCTGTCAATTCTTAGAAATGACTGATAATTGGTCAGGAAAGACTCCCATCAGCCACCAGAAGCTTCAATTTCCTTAGCTCCCAAAACCACCTTAAAGGTAAAGCCACCCCATGACACAGCCTTACACATGTGCAAAAAAAATAGCCCAAATTCGGTGTCCCAGACAATTTTTCTGAAGATCTAAAATCAAAACGTGAGTTTTCTTACAATGTATCTGTGAGCAGGACAGTAACCCCAGTGCCATCCAGTGGTCACTGAATGCCAGAAAAGAGGAAAACTGCAGAAAGCCCATCCATTAGCTCCAATTTCCCAGCTTCCTAATGATACATTGGAAAGGCAGTCTGCCTGTGACAGAGCTAAACAGAGCTGCCAGTTCCTAATGCCAGCATATTTCTAATTTTCACGACAGTTGTTAGGACTTGATAATAGTGTTTGGGACCTGACTTAATGGGTGAGAATAAGCTGTCGATTGTGGCTTCTCAGGGCTATAGAAGAGGGTGCCCAAGCATGAGTAATTTGCTTGAATCTAGAAAATCAAGCACTATTCAGATTTCTGGCCAGTCTTAGACAAATATTCACCTTGCATGCTCAGGGCTCTTTCCATCTGCTGAGAAACTGAACTGCAGTCATCTCAGAGCTTCACCAGCCATTTTGGCTGTTTCCTGAATAAAACTGTGAGGAAAGTAAGACAAATAGCCTTTTCAGTTGCAAATTAGGCATTTTGTAAAGTAAAATTTATGAAAGTAATCAGACAAAGAAAACTGTTCAGGAAGAGTGTTTGCCTTTCAACTGCACTTTCTAAGTGGTCACCTAGAGACTGCTTGTTCTCAGGAGAATCACAGCATGGCAAGCCACTTCATCTGCTCCACAACACAAGGGAGCAATGCAAGTAAATTCCTGTCCCCTTATCTTAGGATGGGCTGCTCAGAGAGTTAACTCAAAAAAAAAATTGTGACAAGAGCTCAACAGCAGGTTTCACCCAACATCCCATACTAGGATATCCATCTCAGCACTTCAAGCAGTTATGACAGAAACAGAAGTGAGCTCATAACCTCTTACATCATGCATTTCTAAAAAAACTATTAAAGCTGCAAGTAGACTACATCGTAGCATATTTGGGTATTACATACCTATATATGGCTTATTGACTCTACTGATCAAGAAAATCACATTATTGAAGCTTATTTCTTAAAGAATATGCTTTAGTTGGACTTGAAGTTATGGCATTTCAAATTATATGTACATATATAGTAGTTCTTCTGGTTGCAAATCCACCATCTCGTGATCTTAGGAAATACAAAAAATCAAAAAAAACTACTTGCAAAGCAAGATTAAATATAATTCTACCCACAGTTCTGTCTAATTTGGCCCAACAGGTTATGTTAATACATGTATTAGACAACAATCAAAGAGGAAGGACAAAATTTTTGCCTCCAACTTCATGCCACAGCACTTACTTAACCAAATGAGTAAAAGAGGCAATGCTCACTGGTAGTTCTGTAACTGATAGTCAGATGAACTGATGAAACAGCCTTGTTTACCTGCAGACTGATTTGGATTTCATTGGCGTCCAACAGCTGAAGAAAACTATTTTGCTATTTAGTTTCAGACAATTCTGCAACCTAAGCTGTTATTTCTCTCAGTAACACCACTTGACATCAGACTTCATGAAGAACGAAAAATAAGTTTTCTGGGTGTGAATAGAACTAAAAAAACACAGTAGTAGCCAAGAAGGAGGCAAAAAGGGTCTTTTTTATTTTTTTTATTTTTTAATTAGAAACATCAACATCAGGTTGTTTTTTTATCTTCAAAGACATAGAAACAGATAAAATGTGATAACATTGCACTATGAAGACTGAATTCCTCTCTGCACATGTGGCAGACACAAAAACTATTACACTCCCATCAGTTATTGGTCACTTGATACTACTTGTGTATATGTCAAATGAATCTCCAGCAAGGAAGACATGCCTGTTGCTATTAACATTGCTAATGAGAACCAACAGGCTTTGCCCCCTGATTTGTTGCTTAATGACTCTTCTCCCAGAATACTCCTTACCCATCCTTCTCTGATAGTAAAATAATTCAAAAGCCCCATTTTCTGTAATCTCATAAGATCATCCAAATAGCAGCCTACAAGCAAAATGCAGACATTCCTCTGAGGCGTTCTCCTTCCAGGCTAAAGACTGCTGCACACTTCCCTTATATTCATGCTTTATCTTTGGTGATATAAATGCTGATGCTCAGAAGTTGCCCCAAACCTGTTTTAGAGTTTTAGGCAGAGGCATGGAAATTCTTGCAGGTTCCTCCTGCCTGTCAGTTCTTTAGTACTTCAGTGACTCATGTCTTAGTGCTGCTCTGCCAGGCAGTGATAAGACCAGGTTGCTCAGCACTCTGCTTTACTTATTTTATCTGCCTACATCTCTGTGGCCTCTTGAGGCCCATGTGTGCAGACCGTACTTGGCCTGTATCTCAGCTTATGTCTCAGACGCCTTTTTTTCAGAGGACATATTTCTACCTCTTTCCAGTCTCAGAAGACCAAATCCTGGGATAGTTCAGGGACTGTTCCAAACTCTTGATGCCTTTGGACGTTGTTCTTCCACATGAAGTCATACAAGGGGTGCAGCATGTTTGCTACACTTATGACAAGCCACCACAGTTTGATGAGCAGTTGTTCTCTCTTTTGTACTCTCTTTCCATAGAGTTTTTGAGTCTAGGGACAGATTAAGGATGAATGCTGAGGTTTCTCACAGGCAGCAGAGCTGTCAGCAAAGAAAAGAAACTGGAAGAACCAGGTAAAAGCAAGGACTGATTTTAGGTTGCTTTCCTACCATCTTTTTCTGGTTGTGTTCTGGCAGCTCTTTTTCTGAAGTGCCTTTGACATGCTTAGTATGAGGATGAACGTATCCTAAATAAGGATTCTGCTGCCAATATTCTTTAGTATTGCTTTAAATATTACCCCTTTCCCCTTGCCAAGCCCTTTCCTATCACATTTCGTGGGATAGCATGCTCTGCATCAAGCAATGCTGCACCTTCATTCTCCTTTCCCTTCCATCCACCAAAAAAGTACCACCTGAAGAAACAGGTCTTGAAACAATGTGATATTGCTGTAACTTTGTGCTAGATCCTCAAGAGGTTTATTTTCATTTCATTTGGGTTAATGTGGGCTTAGCACATTAAAAAAAATTTGAGAGAGCTTGGGAGACAGAAGTTAGCAGACATCCATACTGTAGATGTCTGGTGGGTTTTTTTACAAGGTGGTGGATGGCACTCCCCATCAAAGTGAGATTTAATCTGTCATGTTAGCCACTAAATGGATAAAGACCTAGTTGACACCTGTAGCATTCCAGGGCTGCAAGATCATGTCCAGGGAGGCTACAGTTACCAGTGAGATGGGCTTCTGCTCAGGAAACCATTTATTCACCGCAGGAACAAACTCAGTTTAGACCCAGAGACAGACAGCCCCGAACAGAGGCAGGGTGATGGGCTCTGTGGGACAGAACCAGGGTGGAGTTTAAGGTGGAGACTAATAGGGACAGAGGAAGGAAGAAACCCCAGGGGCTCAAAACCAATCAGAACACCATGGGCTGCCACCCCATGAGGGGTCCAGGGTGGGGCAAACCTTCCTGGGCTCACAGGGCACATCCCCTGAGGCAGAGGGATGGGATCCACTCTTCCCAGTCTTTAAAGCCACACCTCTCACTTCAACAATACTTATCTGACACTAAACTTTTGCCTCCCTGGGCCAGGGGGCACCTCACAGACATCTCTAAAAATGTAAGTGTAAGGAGGAATTAAGCTTCCACTAGGATGAGGACAATTCCCAGTGCTGTTAGGTATGTTCCAAAAGACCTGAAAGAACAAAACTACCAGTAGAAAGAAATCAAACAGGACATGGCTTTTGCATCTAGCAGATAGAGCCACAAGGAGGTCCCATAATTGAAAGTGAAGCTGAGGAAAATCAAATGTTGAATTTTGCACATTTTCATCCGTGATGATAATTAATCATTGGTATGTTCAACTGAACTTTGATGACAAATCTTAACCACTGCCATTCAGGCAGGCTGAAACACACCACCTCATTAAGAAAGAATGGGGAATACATATAGCCTGCCCTCCTGGGAAGGCAGATTGGTTGATCACAAAGATCTATCTTAATCTTCAAAGGACAGATAGGCCAAGATGGGAGACTGAGAGAAAATGGTTCTTCTGTGTCCTGGTTTAGGGCAAATTTGGGAGAAAACTTCCAGTGGGGCTCCCCCCCTCTGGCGCTGGAAAATGCCGCTGCCCAGGCCGGGCTCCCGGTAGTCCACAGGTGCAAGCTCCTGGTGCTCCCCCGAGTCCCCAGTCCAGAGCAAGTTCGATTTGTTTCAGAAAAGGTAAAGAAAACGGTCCAGGAAGACCTCTCTGCTCCGGCTAGCTGGAAAGCCAAGGCGATCTGTGTCTTGTTGTCTGTCTGTGCTGTAGTCAAAACTCCCGATGCGGGGGGAGCAAGTACAGTCTCTGATAACACTCCCGATGCGGGGGGAGCAAGTACAGTCTCTGATAACAGACTTGGTGCTTCTTTTCCACTCACTTTTACTCTCAGATGGAATTTTAAGAATACAGAACCTGTGTCTGGGTTAGGTGGACGAATAGGGATACAATTTAACATCATAATCAACCCAGGACATTCTGTCACAAGGACATATAGCTGTGAACTATGCTGCTACAAATACTGCAGCCTCTGCCATGTGCCTAAAATCCTGAATTTGAATCTGTATTTGTCAGAAAATAATATTCCATGTGTTCCAAGGAGTTCATCAAAAGCATGTGGGAGATACTGGGATGTGATTAGCAAGGCTCCCCCTGTCTCTGGAAGAAGATGTTGCTAAAAGTCTTTCATTCACCTCTTCATACACATCATGATCGTGCTCATATTTGGAACAGCATTGGGAACCATCCCTTCCTCTTTTGATAAAGAGATATTTACTACAAAGTGTTAAGTCTGAATTTCTGAGATCCAGACATCTCATCATAAAATTCATCTTGCTTCCTCTTAGTCTTTGGAAAGGCAAAATTATCAAAAAATTGCACAAAATATGAGTTTGGTTTGCTGGCATGGGGGGGGATTTGACTGTGGCTTTCAAAACTTCAGATACATTTTAAGTGTCCATTTGACACATATATAATTGAATGACATTCTCATGACAAGGCAATTTAGAGAACAGTGCATGCATTCCTTGAGAGAGGTGTAAGCTTCTTTTAAAGCGAATTACCTCCACCGCAAAGTAAAGGAAACCCACAGATTTCTGAACCCTGCCCACTACAATATCTATTTCTTTTGATTTTGGAGAGAGGTAAGGATAAGTGTCTGACCAGCTTCTTTGTAGTTCTGAGACCAGAAATAGTGGATATAAAAGCAGAATACTTTTTTCTTTTTACTGGATATATCCAGGTTCTCCAGCTTCTCTCAAAAGATTTTACTTTCAAAGTGCATGAATAGTTTTCCCTGCTGTGCTCTTAACCACGAGGACTTCCAGAACTGGAAAGACAGTCAGTACTTAGCTCACAACAGATGAGCATTTTGGATCCTCGTGTGTGGTATTCCCGGCTGATTCTGGGTCAAAGGACTGGGGAGAGCTGGGAAACCAAAAGAGGGCAAAGTAAAAGATGTGTCTGGTTTCTCAACTGGCTAAATTCACTTCTTGCTCCGTTCCAGCCCAAGGGTCTTGTCCCTCTGGCAAGGAAGCTGTACATTGCAACTACCAATCACCAACTGAGATCAGGGCCAGAGTGCTTTCAGAGAACTGGCAGTGTCTGTACTTCTCCTTCCCTTAGTATCCAGTTCCCTTAGAGCTAACTGTCATTTGAACCAGAACAAAAAACAATTCAGAAGGAAACAGGTCTTAAAACTACCAGGTGGTTATTCCTAATTCTTGCTTTCCTATGAATTCTGGCAAGTCTCTGCATCCTATAGATTTCTCAAATTAGAGGTCTCTGTTTCATCCACTTCCAAATATATTTGGTAATGGCCTTTGAATCCAGCTCAGGCTTTTGATGTTGTTTTTTTTTTAATTTATCTGTAAGATAAGTTACTTTGCAACTGCTCATACTCATCAGTTAACTCATAGTGTCAAAAAAATTATATGTCAAATCTGTGCGTAAAGGAATGGGCACATGAATTTCAATTTGTCTGGTTCATGATGAAAACCTCCCCAGCATTAATGCTTTCTGATGTAAAACAATTTGGTGTGATATTTATCAGCACAGTTACAGTGTCCAGTAAAGAGTTTCTTGGAATCCCTCTTCTGCATATTCCAAATTTTTTCCGGCTCACCAAATGACATAAGTGTGGGAGAGGGAGCCATAACAGCAGGCAATCATCAACAGTGATGTAAGAAAGGAATTTGGGGTTTTTTCCTTTACTTTACTTTGGAATACAAGTGTCATTTAGTCCCCAGGTAGAAACCAAGTGATGTTTATCTGCTGCTTTATTTTATTGTTCTACCTGGTTCTCAGGAAAATAGGTGAACAGCATAAGGGAAATGAAGCACTTTCATCATCATATACTTTCAGTAAAATTATAACTTATACGTGGAAGACCTGTTGCTCTGACTTAAAAAAGAATCATGCTACTTTCAGAGTGACTCATGGTCCAATCTGTTCCTTCCTGCAGAGAAACAGCTTACAGAGCTCTGGCTCATCACAGTATAAAGCACTGTATCCTCCTACTGATGTAGAATACACTTAATTTTAAGGCTCTTCCTCCTTTCCATGCAATTAACCAGTCAATGCTTCTCTTCCCTTCTCTCCACTTGGGCTCTGAAGGTCACACCAAATCTTCACCTTCAGCAGAAGGACTGAGCAGGGTCAAAAGGAGATATAAATACAAAAGATTTCAAGTAGGACTTGCAAGGCAAGGCAGTTTGGCTGTCCATATCTGAAAAAAACTGCTGATCAAAGTCCTAAAGCCTCCAGTGTGGTGTTGAGTTGCATGTGACATGTGGGGGTGTAGTTTCAATGCTGACAGCTCTGCTTATCAGTTCTTGCAGACTTGGAGCATGTTCCTCCTGCTGCGCTTACACTGAAGCTTGTGCTCATGCAACGTGATACAGAAAATTAGAAATCAAGCACCTGCTGACCTACATGTCACTGGTTCTCTGTGTGGGGTGTACTCTCTGTCCTGCATCCTGCCACCTTCTACTGCCAAATCCACAGGGACATGTGGTAAGAAATGACACCTATGTCTATAATAAGAAAAATCCCTCAAATATAAGACTGGAACTATCACCCTCTGATTTCCTGTGCTTCAGTGGGACCACGTAATGTGGGTCTGACCCACTGGAGGAGAAGGAATTGAGCCAACTGCATCACTTAATGAAAGCAAAGATACACACTAGTTAATGAAAAAATATTAGTGCTTTGCAGAAATCCTTTCTGACTACAACCCTGATATAAGAAACTCACCCAAATAAAGAGCGTTTGCACTAAAGACATATTAACAGAATTGGCAGCAGGGGGAAACATCCATGAAACTTAAGCTGCCCGTGTTTTGGATTGCTCGTGTTAGTAGTTGTGTACAGAGTACAAGCCAGCCAGAACACTAGTACATCAAGGCATGATAAACAGCCTTGTTTGCCACTGGGCAGAATACAGTTTTGTTCTTTCACCCAAAAAATATAAACTGGGATCAAGAATTAGGTAAGAACTACCCTGCAGTGCAGCAGAGTCAACTTGACACTGGACAAGAAGTCTCTCTAAAGAACATGCAGGTGCTTTTCTCCAATGCTGCATGCCATTAGGTGGCTGTGTGTTGGGAGCTATGATTGCTTTATGTGTTCTGGTCTCCAAGTAGCTACTTTTTCACCAAAACAGACCATTCAGCCAGCCAGCTTCCCAGCCATGGATGGATGGAGCTTGGTCACAGACACAAGCCAGTAGTTCTGACATGTACTTTCTCTGCAGGGATGGCTTTTTTCCCTGCTAGCAGGGATCAAGAAATTGTGCCTTCAAGCCTTTAGCCACTGACAGTGGCCACATGGTATCCTGTCTGAAACAGATGTTAGATGCAGAAGGGAGAGGTGAGCAGAGGAGAATTTTCTTTGTGAGAGAGCAGGGACAGTGGGATAACTGTGGGCAGAGGTGAGTTGTGCCTCACTGGGGCAGCTGGGACACATGGCCTGGGCCTTAGTCAAGGGAAGAGGGAAGATTTCTAGCTACCAGCCTCCTTCTAACCACACTTCTCTGACCGTGGCTGGTGCAAACCATGTCCAGTCAGGGAGATATGGACCTGCCATGGAGTTTGGTCTGACCAGCTCATGCATATAGAAATACTGTGTTCCAAGGGTCTCTGCTGGGAAGTGATGTTCACAAGCTAAATGGAAGGCAAAAGAATGAAAGGAAGCCTTTGAATAGCTTAATGAATAGGTTTGCCATCCACCTGAACAATATTTTTCCCTTTTGAGATATATTTTTTCTCTTTTGCTGATATCAGAAAGGCTGGAGCACATCCTAGAAGGAAAGACCAGATCAGAACAGTGCTCCATACCCTACGATTCTGGGTAAGTTTGTCCCTTAAAAAAAAGTTTTTATCAATGTTTTACAAGCTTAGACATGCCAACATGTTTAGAAGTGTAAGGAAATGTTACACAAAAGGGAATTTATTCATATCAAAACCTACCAAAAAAATAGGAGTTATAGGACCTACATGCTATTTGGGCAGATTCTCTTTCTTGTGCAAACTCCTTCCTTTTCCTTGGCCATACTCATGATATGTAGAATGGCAGAATAACTTACATGTATATTAATTTACCTCTTTTGGCTATTCTCTCTTTGACTGCTATTTAAAAACATGTATTAGTTTTGCAGGAAACACAGTCTGGGCTGCTTTCCTCTGTGAATTTTTGTCACATCTCCTTCTAGACAGCCAGAGGGGCATGGATGTTCTGTGTCAGAGAGGTCAGTGTTCAGACACCTGAGCAACATCTCAGTCACAAAGACAACATATTTTCTTAGTAGACAATATGGGATCTGCAGAAAACTTTTATGGCTTTTTGTCACCAGATGGTGCTCCAGCACTGGGCTAGTTCTGCCTTGGTCACTTGCTGAAGTACCAGTTTCTCCTGCAAAATCAGTTTCATTATTCTGGTTTGCAATTATGATTGCCTCTGTCTTGGGCCCTTCTTCAGCAAGGGTGAGTGAGCCCTTCTCAGTACTGCTTCTCAGTAGCAGTTTTCTGATTGAATTGGTTAGCTCATAGCATTTGCCCAAACAGTTGGTGTATGGCTGTGACTTCTTGTATTGTTCCCACAACAGGCATTGTAGCTGGATCTGGCCATACTTCAGGCCTCTTCTGCTCATCAGATCTCTTTTCAGAGCATTGAACATTCTTATTATGATTAGTTGCTTCTTCATTAAAGATAAGAAAGCCTTTTCCTTCCCTGGAGTTCTGTTTTATCACTGGCTAGACTGAAGACCAATCAGGTAGACAACATGTTTGACACAACTAGAATGACTTCCTATGGGATGCTTTTGTTCCCACGTGAAGAGTTTGAACTTGGTGGGGAACCAGGCATTCCCCACGCAGCACACAAGCTGCTGTGAGCTCCCTGAGGTGGGAAAGGGCTTGGAGAAGTTCTGGGATGCTGGGGCCAGAAAGCCTAGCGCTGGGGAGCAAAATATCGGGTTGCACATCTACAGAGAGAAAATAAAAATAAAAGCCAAAGCTATAGCCTGTAAAGGCAGAATCTCAAGTGGTGCCACCAGGCTGCTTCTAAGGCCCCAGAAGAGATCTTGGTAGGCTACCAGGCAGTGCTCATAGACACACTGGCTCACTGAGAGCACACTGAATAGAGCCAGACATGTTTCAGCCAGGCTGCAGCTGAAGCTTCTCAGCTCAGACTTGAGAACAATAGAAACTCACTCCACCCAGTCTGGGAACAATAAAGTCATTTCCACACACCAGACCTGTTCAGTACAAGGGAAATCTGCCCCGCACATACTCACTGCAATGGGAGCAGCACAGTCCCAAAGAGGTTTTTGAAATCTGCCTTTTTAAGCTCAAATATTTTTGTAAATGACATCATCTGAGTTTCATGAATTTGGCTTTGTCCACATCTAATGATATAACCAGAACATAATATAAGGGGCTTTTCAACCTAACTACTCCTAAATTTCAAAAGATGCAACTTTGTTCATGTCCACACTGGGATGACATCATGATGTTTACAGTTCTTTATGAGAAAAGAAAAGAAAAGAGCAATATCCTTTCCCTTCAAATGGCCAGTGCCCTGGTAGTGTATGGTGTCATGCAGTGGTTTGTACCCTTGTATTGCGTTGGAATAAGTAGAGATCAAAAATCCACCCTCCCAAACTAAGTGTTGAACACTTCACTTGCTTTGCCACTGAGCCAGAAATTCCACCTCAGGACTAAGACATAATTCCAATAGAAGTTTTTGGTAAACAAGAGGAAACTTGTCAGGAAGCACTTTTGGTAAAAATATGCCAGCTTTGAAATTTGACATTCTAGACAAGACCTGCTTACGCATTGTACTGCCTCAAGTCTAGTAGGTCAGGTACCAAGAGGGACTTCCTTCTACCACTAAAGTCCTGGATTTTATTCCTCAAAATGCACATCACAGAGAATTTACTAAAACTAACCTACTTTGGGATTTTTACTGCAGGTCAGAAAAAATAGACAGACTGTGCTAGCCTTTTCCTGGTATTTGTCTCTGGCTTTGTTTTTCAGCAAGTCTGTTGATTAGTCCAAGCTGCTAACCTTAGGTCAAGCAAGATGTGTCTCTAGGTCCTAAGGCAGCCTACATGAGAGCAGTTTCTTTTCCTGCTAAGGAGAAATACCCCACAGAAGCCCTCTGTTTTATGACATGGTCAAACATCATGGTATGAAAGCAATTTCTTGCTCTGGCTCATGTGTATGTGTAACACTGGCAGTAGTGTCAAAGCAGTAGTCAGTCTGCAGGCAGCCTGAGACCATGGCTGATTTCACTGACTCTGCTCCTATTAGAGGTATGCTAATTCTGATGTCCACTTTTATGAGTATGTCTATTAACCCAAGTAAATAAAGCTATGCTGAGGGAATTAAATATGTTCCTATTTGACCAAGGAAAATCTAATTAAAACTCAGAAAGTTGTGCAAAATTGGAAAAAATGCTTTCCATATTTAATTTTGTTTCCTAATTTGATGTGTGAAACACAAGATATCCCTTGGCAGTGGTTATTGTCCATTACATCACAGTAAACCAGCATTTATATCAAAAGATACAAAAATATACACACAGCTTTTTTACATCTGTGCATCTGAGTCAAAGCTTGTCTGTGGAAAGTGTGTCATAAATACAGCCTAAACACTGACTTAATATTATGAAACAAATAAAGAAGAACATTTCTTCATCTACTCAATTTTTCTTACAAGTCCAGATTCTTGGACCTGGCAACCTGGCACAGCTAATTAAAAAAAGAAACTATAATAAAAAGAGCAACTCATATTTGATAAAGGAATAATTGCAACTGCTGTATAATCAGAAAATCATAAAATCACTGAATGGTTTGGTTTGGGCTGGAAGGAACCGTCTAGTTCCAATCTCCCTGCTATGGACAGAGACATCTAGCACCAGATCAAGTTGTTCAGAGCTCCATTCAGTCTGTACTTGAACAGTGCCAGGGATGAGGTATCCACAGCTTCTTTGCCTCATCACCCTCAGAGTAAAGAATTCCTCCTAATCTCTAATCTAAACCTACTGTATTTCAGCGTAGAGCCATTCCCCCTTTTCTGTCACTACATACTCTCATAAAAACTCCCTCCATCTCTTTTGTAGGCCCCTTTCAGGTACTAGCAGGCAACAATAAGGTCACCCTGAAGCCTTCCCTTCTCTGAATAATCCAAATTCTCTCAGCCCTCACTCACAGGACAGGGGCTGCAACCCTCTTGCCACCTCTGTGACTGTCCTCTGTACTCACTCCAATAGCTCCATGTCCTTCCTGTGCTGGGACCCCAGAGCTGGATGCAGGGTTCCAGGTGAGGTCTCACCAGAGCAGAGCAGAGGGACAGAATCTCCTCCCTCCCCTGCTGCCCACGCTGCTTTGGATGCAGCCCAGGACACGTTTGGCTCTCTGGGCTGGGAGTGCCCATGGCTGGGTCATGTCCAGCCTCTCACTCACCAGCACCCACAGGGCCTTCTCACAGGGCTACTTTTGACCTGTTCATCCACAGCTTGTGGATTCCAGGGGTTGCCATAGCTCAGGTGCAGCACCTTGCACTTGATCTTGTTAAAACTCATGAGATTAATGTGGGCAAATTTCTCAGGCTTGTCCAGATCTCATTGGATGGCATCCTGTCCTTCAGGTGTGCTATGAAATACAGTTTTTTTGATACCTTTCTTGTCAGAACAAAAGGTTCTTGTTTTACTTCCCTGGAATAGAAATCACATCCACCATCTTTTTTGTTAGCTTTTCTGAATTAAGGAAAACCCAAGGAAGATGGAAACTAAACATAATGAGATGAAACAAGGTCCTGCATTCAGTTTTCATCATGAACTCTCTGGGATGAAAGTTTTGGAAGAAAAGCAAAATTCTTTTGGAAATATAACTATGAAGGACAACAATTGTATAATCAGTTAAGAGATTCAGATCTTATAATAGATTTGGGAAGTTTTTAACTTTGTTTTTTATTATTGTTGAAATAATAAAAGCCAGCAAGCAAACAGTAGATAGCAAAACTTTCTAATGGTATCCATGTTTCAGAAAGACATGAGCAAGCTAAGTAGAGATGTTGACACTCACTAGCATTGCCAAAGACATCCAATGGAGATGGCCAGACACTCCTCCTAAAAAGCTCATTATGTGCTTCTGATCAAACCTTTAGTCCATGCAGCTGCACTCTAGAATGGAGGAGACATACTCAGGCTTAAAGCTACACGGGGAGGAGCACTGGAGGTTTTCCAGCTCGTATTTCAGTAACCTTCATAAGAAGTTTATTCTTTAACAGCTGCTGAATTATTTTATTTCTGAACTCCCAAATTAACCATGCTACATCTACACACATCTACATCCACAGCTGCCTCAGTCTTGCCAAAGATTAATACCTCAGCCTGCCTGCTTGGAATGCAAGAAGGTGAGTTTCCTTCTCCTGAGGCACTCAGAAACACACACCTCCTTTGCAGTATGCCAGATGCCTGGGGACAGAAAAATCCCTGCCGTGAATGTCATAGCAGTGCAGTTGCATGGCTTCCTTATATGTTGTACATAATAAACCTTATGTGTACCCCACACTCACATGAAGGGTGTGTGTGACAGCCCCAAAACCTGGTATAGGACTGTGCTAGGGCAAGGGCCATTTCCTCAGCATTTCTGCTCCCAGCATAGGAGAGAATACAGATGCTGTAGGGGGAAGAGAGTCCTTTTGCAACTTTTCCAGTGGTAAATCAGCATCTCTCTTGCACATGTAGCAGAAAGGCTAGCATTTTAGATGACACTTCTGCATTGTATGCAGTAGCCTGCTATTTAAATATACAGCATCCTGGAACAGCTTACCTCCTCAGACTTT